ATAAGGCAGATTATCAAGAGAAATTATGAGACAAGTATCAAGGTACAAGTGTTTCTGCCTAAATGTGTTTTTACTGGAACTTCTGAAATTTATCCAAAGCCTAATAAAAATAATGCATTTTTTTCTTTGAAATACTTATATCCCCTTTATCTTCGCATAAATAGCTATGGCAGATTTTAATTAGAATTTAATTATTAATTTTATTAATAATAAAAGATGACATTTATCAAAACTGTCCAGACAATCAAGATGGGGTTAATTATGGAAAGGCTAAATTATGAAAACAATATTGTTGTTTAAGAACAAAGCATTTTAGGGGCGCCTGGGTGGCTTAGTCGGTTGGGCTTCTGACTTTCGCTTGGGTCATGATCTCGCGGTTCGTGGGTTTGAGCCCCACGTCGGGCTCTGTGCTGACTGCCAGCTCAGAGCCTGGAGCCTATTTCAGTCTGTGTCTCCCTCTCTCTCTGACCCTCCCCTGCTCACGCTGTCTCTCTCTCTCTCTGTCTCCTAGAAATAAAAATATTAAAAAAAAAAAAGAAGAACAAAGCATTTTATTTCTTTCTCACTTAAGAATTTCTAGGTAAGTGGTACCAGTTATTTAGGGATCTCATTTCTTCCATTATGTTACTCTGCCATCCCTTAGAGGAGAAGTATTGAGCTCAGTTGTATCATACACCCCTTTGGCATTCTGGTGAAGCCAACAAATAACTGAAAATAATAGTAATAACTATTGAGAACAAAATAATATTTTTAGATGCACAAAATAAAATACATTGGATTGTAAAGGAAATTAAATCTAATATTTAAAGTTTGTGATATAGTAAATATGTGTTTATTAGTGTATTAAGTAATAAGATCTAAATGGGTGTCTAATCACTACTGTAGTTTTGAGTATGATCAATGCAAAATATTTTGAGATATTTGCAATGACTATAAATTGATATCAAAGATTTCCATGTTTTCTAAATAAAAAGTCAAGAATTGTTTTTTTGTTTTTGTTTTTGTTTTTTAATTTAATTTTTTTTTTTAACGTAATCTCTACATCCAACATCAGGCTCGAACTCAAATCCCAAGATCAGTGGTTACATGCTCTATCGACTGAGCCAGGCAAGCGCCCCCAAATGTAAAGGAATTGTTACATTTCAGTTGCAGGTTAGTGAAAATAAAGATGTTCTTTTTTACTCCCCCTGTGAAAATCAAAAGGAAACCTGGTTTAGAATGACCTGGAGAGACCAGCAGGTGGCGCTCTCATGCCCAGCCACTCATGCCAATTACAGACCCTACAAGAAAAGACTACTTTACAAGGCGTAATACTTTAAAATCCCAGCAGGAAGATAGGCTTCCCCTCACTCCTAGGGAACAGCCCAGCCAATTAAGACTGTCACAACCCCACCAATGAAAAGCCACTACAGCTCCAAATCCTAGTTTACTCCAATGGACTGTTTGTTTATAACAGCCTTCCAAACTTCTTCCTTTCCTCTAGAAAAAAATGTTCCTCTCCTTTGTTCAGGGGACTGGCCTATGTTTTTGGTGTAGTTTGCTTGTCCTTGATTACAGTTTTCTGCTATTCCTAAATAAGCCCATTCTTGCTGGTAGAATAACTGTTATTTTTATTTTTTAAGATTAACACCCCATACCAGTTCATGGATCCTATAAACCCCATTTTTGGAGTTCTTAGAAGCCCATGGATTCCAGGTTAAGACACCCTGAGACAAAATGATCATCTGCATTATAAAATTTATCACTCTTACAGTTTTGGGAAACAGCTGTACCAAAACACTGAAAAACTGAATAATTGTTAACAAAAGGACATATCAAGGAATTCATAGAAAGGAGGTAAAGCCAAGGAAAATGTTTAAAGAAAGAGTATAATGAACAAATGATTTTAAATTTGTATTCAAGGATAACATCTCTTTAGGAACTAAAATCAGAAGCCACAACCCAATCAGTTTTTATTACAAAAGCTGGTAGAACTCTAGGAAGCAGACCAAATAAACAGCTCTCAGAAACAATGGCTAACTCACTTTCCTGAGCTGCTTTGGTAGTTGATTTCTACAGATATAAGGGGATATGTTTCTACAGTTCAGTTCAGGTTGCTTCCTAATTGACTTTATTTCAGGGAAGCCTTTAGAACTTACGGCTTAGCCCATAGTTGATGTATGCTTTGGGTTCACAATAATTTCTCTTCCACATCAAAAGTAGAATATCACATGTATTTCAGAAACACTGGATGAACTAGTTAAAATTGGAAATGACTGAGGTACAACCACCTTGTAATATTTTCAACAACTGATATCAACATAACACTTTATTGTTTACAAAAGCTACTTTCCCATGCATTGCTTCCTATTGATTCTCAGAATTACTTATTGATGTCCTAGAATATACCATAAAATATATGGTATTGGAAAACCATGGATCTCTTTCTGAGCTTGCTGCTTCACACAGTAGTCCTCATAGTTTCTCCCTGCTGCCTCTCTCTGCCTTCATTGAATCACTACCTGATTCAGTGGATTACATAAACTTGTTAGAAAGGGCTGTGGGTGTGTGGCCACATGATAGCCACCTTAATTCTTCTCAGAGTCATCTGTCAAGTCCTCCAAACCCGGGTGCCCAGAATTGCTGCCTTTTTACCCTCCCTCTTCACCCCAAAATACTAGAGAGTAGTTGGATTTACAGTGTGCTCTGAGACAACTCCCATTCAGTCTGTCAGCACATGACTGACTACCTATTATCCAAGGAAAGCTTGACATGAGCTGGGGTTTGAGGTGCACCAGAGTGTCTGTAAATCCAAACATGTTTCTATAAATGCCAATATTTCTCTATCTAATCCTGATGACATAGCTCCCCTTCAAAGAGAAGATCAGGACACCATATGCCAGGATAGCATTGCTATTAATACACTTTGAAGACAAGCTCTGAGTATAAGCTGAACATGCTGACTATAAAACAAAACCAAAAAATTCCCCTCTACCTCCCTGTGAACAATGAAATAAAGTCACTTACAGGGTGACTGGCTGGCTCAGTTGGTACATCATGTGACCCTTGGTCATGAGTGTTGAGCCTCATATTGGGGATAGAGTTTACTCAAAATAAAAACAGTCACTTAGGTCAAGGGAGATTAAAATGGAGCAGTGAGACCATTACAGAGGTGGCCCTTATGTATGTCCTCGTCCAGTGGAGTCATGAACTTTTGAACTGACTGGGTCAAACCGTAAATACTCTAAAGATTCTGCAGGGCACCTGCAATTTGCTATGGTATCAATTGGATTTTTGCATAGTGATAGCCTTAGCAACCAATTATGGTTAGCCAAGATTAGTTTTCTGTCACCAACATCGATCAAAATTCTTTGTAAAGAATGTATAAAAGCATTCCCCTTTTGTCCCTGTCTTTTGCTCTCTTGTGGGACACTATTTGGGTTGTGTAATCAGAGTACCCCAAATTACAATTCTGGATCTCAAATAAATACTTTTGCTTAATCATTGCCTCCTTACAATTTTTGGTTGACACCTTCTAGGTTCTTTTATTACCTCTGTAATAAAAAGTGATTAACAACAACAACAACAACAAAACGAACAGAAGTTCAACAATGTGTATCTCCTGTATATATTGTGGATAGTCAGAAAAACTGAGTAAAACTCCCCAAAATGGCTCAAGCCACCACCTTAAATACCACCTGCAGCTAAAGACAAAAGAAAAGGGCATCGGATGGCTCAGTTGGTTAAACATCTGACTTCAGCTCAGGTCATGATCTTGCAGACTGTGAGTTTGAGCCCCACGTTGGGCTCTGTGCTGACAGCTTAGAGCCTGGAGCCTGCTTCAGATTCTGTGTCTCCCTTTCTCTCTGCTCCTCCCCTGCTCATTCTCTGTCTCTCTTATTCTCTTATTCAAAAATGAATAAATGTTGAAAAAAAAAAAGACAAAAGAAAGATGTTGCAGTGGAGGTGGGGAGGCCAGTTAAGGAAGGTTGCTAGGAAAAGCACAGCAAAGTTAAGGTTTGTGGTGCATATTTAAGTCTCTGCCTTCACCATTGGCAAGAGTTTTTTGTGACTTACAGTCATCCTTCTCTTTCCGGTACTAAGAGGGAGATACTTTAACAAATGGAGATTTCCCATGTGTCCCTTACAAAAGGGTAACTTCCACTCCAGGTTTCAGAGCTTCTCCTTTGCCTGTAGTTTCTTAAAAATAACAAGCTCAAATAATCCTTATACCCAAGAGGTATAACTTGGGGTGGCATACTCTGCTACCCTTCATGATAATTTGAGGAGAAGGTGAGAAATTAGCTGGGAGTAGCCCTCAAAGAAATGCATTGATGAGGTGTCTGGGTGGCTCAGTTGGTTAAGCGTCTGACTTCAGCTCAGGTCATGATCTTGTGGTTTGCAAGTTTGAGCCCCATGTCATGTCAGGCTCTGTGCTGACAGCTCAGAGCCTGGAGCCTGCTTCAGATTCTGTGTCTCCCTCTCTCTCTGCCCCTTCCCTGCTCATGCTCTGTCTCTCTGTCTCTCAAAAATAAATAAACATTAAAAAATAAAAAATAAAAGAAATGCATTGGTAGAAAGCACATTCAAAGATCTCACTTTATCCATAAATTGCACCTTTGACTACATACTTTTTCATCTCCTAATGAAGATTCCACAGTTCACAACTCCAGAGGTGTTTGGGTTTGTTATTCACTGAAGTTCCCATAGAACATAGCCTAGACATCTGGGGACTTTTCCCCAGAAGTTGTTTGGGACATGAATTTAGGAGATATATCTCTGATTGTCTGCTGATAACTGCAGATAACCCCTCTCCCAGTTTTACCTCTCCCCAGAGCCTTGCAATTCCTTTGTGCCCTGAAGTGAGTCTTTGATGTTGGACACCTTTGCTCCAGGCTATTCTCAGAGTGAACCCAAGTGTTCTAGATGAGAAGGTACAGGAACAGGTTCACATAGTAATGTTATTCCCTCTCTCTCCACCCCCACTATCAATCAGGCGGAGTGCTGTACCTCTCACTGCTATTCCTCTCTTCCCTGCTGCAGACATCTTGACTCTGCCCTTCAGGTCCACATATTGATTTTCACCACCAGTGACACGTGAGTGTTGGATCTGAACAGGGGGAGTTAGAGTTAGGGTTCGTGCTGAGGATGCTTGAGGGGAAAGGTCCAGGAACTCTGGAAGGGACCTGACTGAACTTCCAGATGGTAAAGACTGGAATGTGACCCAATTTGTAAGAAGCAAAGACCTGAATTCAACTCAGGATGAATCCCACTGATACAGTCTCTCCTGTCAACCCCTCCAATCTTCCCAAGCATAATATTCTGAAGCAGCTTGAATCCTGATCTTTTATCCTGGTTAGGACCTTTGGCCAGATATAGGGTGCCAGAAATGAGTCGTGCCTATTCTGTCTTCTGTGATTGATGTAGCACTTGACACAACAGGGGAGGAAAAACATTTCCTTTTGTCCTTCAAGATACTTCCAACTGGTTTAAGAATTAAATTGAAATAAGATTTAACAGGAGGGAAAAAAACACCAAAGTTTTATTATGTGCACATGGAGGCCCATTAATGAAATGGAGACCCCAAAGAAATGACCGAGGCAGGCAGTTTTTATACATTTTGAACAGTGAGACAGTACATTTGTGAGGAATGGACAGAACAGAGAACATAAATGTTTGGGAGTTTCAATTAGTCAGGAATTCTAAGCAGAATCTGGACTGAAGTAATAGATTAGTAAAAAGTAATAAAGTTTGTTTATACAATTTCTCTGGTGGGGTGCCTTGCTGGCTTAGTTAGTGGAGTAAGCAACTCTTGATCTTGGGGTTATGAGTTCGAGCCCCACACTGGGCATAGAGTCTACTTTAAAAATAATTTTAAAATAAGTAAAATCTCTATATTTGGTGATAAGAATATCTTTTTTTTCTTACTATAGGGATGGTGCCTTTCAGATAAGATTCATTGCTTTTAGGGGGACAGAGGAGGGTCTGAGTATCTTTGTTCTGGCTGTTTTCCAAGTAGCTTCAATTCAAAACAATCAATATACCTCTGTGACAGCTTTTGGGGTGGCCTACCCTGGGTTCCTACAACATTCTCAGAAGTGCTCTCACATACATATCTCATTAGATTCCCTCACAAGTCTGTGGGGCAGCTATTATTAGGCCCATGTGAGGACACAAGTACTCAGAGAGTTAAGAATCAGGTTAGAGATTCCATGGGGCCAGCTGCACTCCCCATGGTAAATGAGGACAGAGAGCTGGTTTAAAGGGGACACTTTTTCGCATACCTCTATGCCCTAATTCTGACCAGGGTCCTCCTGTGTGAGCAGTTTCAATCTTGGTGCTGGATTGATCAGGACGATATTTCAGAACTGGAGCTCCTGTATGATGGCATTCTTAACCACAAATCAAGATCGTTTATAACTGGGGCGCCTGGGTGGCTTAGTCGGTTAAGCATCCGACTTTCGCTTAGGTCATGATCTCACGGTTCGTGGGTTCGGGCCCCGCGTCGGGCTCTGTGCTGACTGCCGGCTCAGAGCCTGGAGCCTGTTTCAGTCTGTGACTCCCTCTCTCTCTGACCCTCCCCTGCTCAAGCTGTCTCTCTCTCTCCTAGAAATAAATAAAAACATTAAAAAAAAAAAAGATCGTTTATAACTATGATAGATAGGTAAACAGCCTCTGAGAAGGTAGATGGGTAGGCAGGAGTGATAACATGTTTCACACAGGCTTGGGGGAAGTGTTATAAGGAAGGCAAGATTAGATAAGCACCATCTTACAGAATCAGTGTAACTGTATCCTGGGGTCTGAGGGAACCAAAGCCTTCTTGTTTGGAAATATCAGCCAAGTCTTCGCTCACCTTCTGCATTCCCTTAAAAGGTGACAGTCCTTTCCACTTCACAGCCATGCAGCTTAAAATGCCTTTTTCTTTCAGACTCACACTCTTCTGAGAACTGGTCTGCACTGTAAAACAGAATTAGCTAGAGGGTGATTGGTTTGGGTGGAAGAGAGGGCAGACAGGAGGTGTTTGAAATTCTCAAAATAAACTCCCCCTATTTTTTACAATTTTGTGTTTGTCTCACTCGGGCTCTAGCATATTTTCAGTTCTCATAAATGTTATTATCTAATGAGATTCATTACCTTCAAGGCTGGGAACAAAATGTTAACATTGGGCCCAAGTGCCTACATTGGCTGGGGAAGGAATTTTAAGGTGGAGGTCAGCCCTTAGGGCAGCTGAGATAATGCTTTCTTCTCTCCGTGCTGTGGACCCGCAGGTGGCCCTGGTGACTGAGATGGCATCCTCTCTAAAGGTCCTCGGCCTTGTCTTGGCCATGCTGTTTCCCCTATGTGGGCTGCTTGTACATGGCCAGAACCTTTCCTGGAGGGAATTCATGCAGCAGCACTACCTGAGCACAAGCTGGAAATTCAGTGACTACAAATGCAATGATCTCATGAGGGAAAGAGGAGCTCCAAAAGACAGGAATGATCACATCTTCATCTATACCTTTTGGCACAAAATTGAGCATATATGCCTTAGGAAGTGGAGAGATCGTTACAGAAATGTATATATATGGGCCCAGTATCCCTTCAAAATCCTCAGGTGCTACCAGGAGAGTGACAAAAAGAGCTACAGAGAGCATAGGAGCTACAGCTACATTGAATTTCACTGTGGCACGAATGGGTATGTCGACAGCATAGAGGACATCCAATTGTTAGACATCAAAAATTAGAAAGTCTACCCACACCCCCAGGTTTTAGTAGTGTGTCCATTACTTCCCAAGTGGTAGCCCAATGCCTACATCAACAGCTCTGGCTACTCCTGCCTTTGTACGTATGTGCCAATGTTTTCTAACTACTGGAGTTATGTATCACAAGATTTCTTGATATCAAAACTGCCTACGTTGTTTCTCTACCCAGAATACCTTTCTGTCCTCATCTACCTGATTTGCTCTTACATTTTTTATTAAGTTGTAGCTTATATAGCTTTTCTTTTCTTTCTTTTTTTTTTTTTTTTTACCAAACAGGGATTTTCCTGATATTGACTCTCCTTATACCTCCCCGAGCTGAATGATCTTCCCTTCCCTAAATAAATTATATCATTCCAATGTGTACGAAATTTATACATGTTATATGTGCATAGTATGTGTTGTGTGATTGGTATAGGGGTTACAGGGTGTGTCATACAGATTATGCTTGGATATGATTTGTGCTGAGTGTAGGGTTAAGGTGTGTGTTACTGGACATATTCGTCAAACATGTCTCTAAGGAAATGCATGCATTTTGGGTAGGTTAAGGCATTATGTTTCCTGAGACATAATACATTAAGTAGAAGATAATCACAGAAATGAGTTTACCTGATAACCTTTTTCACTAGGCAGAGAAAGAGAATCCAATAAAGGACTTTAAAATGCAACCTTCAAGAATGGGTCTTAAGACTTAAATTTTGTTGGAGGAAAAAGGAAGTGAATTGCAGAACGAACTGTTGAGACAGAAGTAAGCAGAGTCCACGAGAATTCTGTTTGCTAAATGGGGAAGAGAGATTCAGAGAAAGATAAATCTTCGCTTCATATAATTTTGCCTCAGGCAGGTATGGGGAGGAGAAATACTAAACACTAAAGTACCTTGTGTTCTTCAGCCTCCTGCATTGTTGAAAGACTCCAGTCCTGAAACAATTAGAGAAAAAACCAATGTATGAACATTTTCAGTGAGATGGCTGTGCTCCTAGTCTGCAAAGGGAAACTCATTATATACCCTCAGGTTGGGAGGGGTCAGGGATAGAGTTAAGTCTCTAAGGCTAGGCTGTGATCCTAGTTTGCCAAGCCTCAGCATTGCAATTTTTCAGTTCACCTGGGGATGAGCAGACAGCAAGGAGGTGATGCTGTATACCAACCAAACTCATAAGAGATTAGTGGTAAACCAGTAGTTCTGTATCAATAATCAGTTTACATATGAGGAATACTGATGGTTTTTCTCCGCTGATAAAAGCTGCTTCAGAATGCACTGGCAGCCACCTCTGCACTGTCAGCTTGGAATTTTCTCTCTCCCTCACTGCCCCTAGCCTGCTTGTGTTCTCTTTCTCTCAAAATAAATAAACTTAAAAAAATGCAGGGGCATATTTTGTGGTGGCATTTTTGGGTCTCCTATAGTCATATTTCAGAGAGATCTTTTCTGGTCACCCACGGTTAAGTTTTCACAAATACCTCATTTAAAAAACTCTGAAAGTCCCTTTTATTAAAGTGTTAAAAGATGATAGGGGCACCTGGGCAGCTTAGTCAGTTAAGTGTCCAACTTTGGCTCAGGTCATGATCTCATGATTCGTGAGTTTGAGCCCTGCGTCAGACTCTGTTCTGACAACTCAGAGCCTGGAGCCTGCTTTGGATTCTGTGTCTCCTTCTCTCTCTGTTCCTCCCTAACTCACACTCTGTCTCTCTCTCTCAAAAATAAGTAAAGATTAAAAAAAAAAAAAAAAAAAGATGATGGTTCAAAACAGTATAGGAGGAGCACAGGGCTCCACAGGGCTCAACTCAGGGCTCCATCCCACAACCCTGGGATCATGACCTGAGCCAATACCAAGAGTCAGGTGCTCAACCGACCGACCCATATTGATCATTATTAACTAAAGTCCACAATTTAATTAGGATCAATTCTTTGCATTATATAGTTCTATGGGTTTTGACCATACATAATGTCATTGTAGGAGAGGAAAAATTTTCCTTGGCTCCCTAGGGGTCTCTGGCTGGGTCTGAAAATTAAACTGACAAAGAGAGATTTAGTAGGAGAAAAGCATACAAATTTTATTGAATGTTTTACATGTCCATGGGACCCATCACAAGGGAATGAAGAGCTGAAGAAGTGACCAGAGCAGGAAGCTTTTATACCTTTTAGACAAACAAACAATACATCTGTGAAAAATTGACAAGATAAAGGGGTTTGGTTTATGGGTAGTAAATGGTGAGAAAGGAACTACGAAGACAAGAGTTAGTTTAATAAGGTTTGTTTGCAGGTTCCTCTGGTACCACCTCCAGCTGGTAAGAGTTTGTCTCCAGTAAAAGAATTTATTTCCTGCCTTTAGGCAAGAAAGGGAGAGCTTTTTCTGCATTTGATGATTCTAATTGCCTTTACTGCAAAATAACTTTTATGTCTAAGAGCCAGATTTTGAGATGACATAGTCTGGTTTCCTTCAGTATGAACAAGGAGTATCTCCCTATTTATTTAGACTTTCTTTGATTTATTTCATCAGAGTTTTCATTATAGTTTCATATTGATCTTGTACATTTTTATTAGATTTATATCTAAATATTTCATTGTTCTTTGATGCTAATGTAAAATTTTTTTTTAATTCCAATAGTTCATTGTTGGTATATAAGAAAGCAATTGATTTTTGTATGTTAACCTTGTATACTATAATTTTGCTATAAATAGACATCATTTTTATCCTGTAGATAATTGAAGCCATTAAAAGCAAGAGTGTCCCACTATTATATTTATGCTCCAGGAATACTAACTTGGAAGTGATATGTACAATGGATTGGAAGAAAAAGAAGAAGCTCAAGGCTGGGAGTCCATGTAGGAGGCTTTTATGTGAGCCCTTCATGAGACAACAAGATTGTAAATAAGGCTACTGCAGCACCAATGGAAAAGTAAGAACAGATTAAAGAGGCAAATACACTAAATTTGTCCTTCTCCTTCATATGTATGGGTCTCTTTGTTACCAAACTCAAACTTGTCCATGCATCTGATATGCAGTAAGCCAAATTCTGAGACACTGGATTTAAAACAACAAAGAAAGCTTTATTATCAGAAAGGCAGCCCAGGGATAAGGTAGGGGATCATTCCCAAAGCTGTCTTGCCCTGATGAGCCTAGTGACAGCTTATATACATGAGGGAGAGGAAGGTACAGGGTTTCCTGAAATCTTTTTAGGAGGGGGGCCTTGAAACAATCTGGAGGTAAGCATTCTTCTGGACAATGAGTTGCTATTTGGGACCTGGGAGCAGATATATTAAGATAAATGTTACTGTCTGGTCTCCATTAGGTGTCTATAATCAGTGAGTAAACAGGGAGTAGGGGTGAAAAATTGATCGACTGTGCATGGGGTTAAGAGGTACATTAAACATAAGTAGAGAACAAAACAATGTGGAACTAAGTTAATGCAATTAATTCAGCTATAGTTTTGCTCATGCTTTCAAAACAGGTCCAAAAAACCAACAGTCCGGCCTCATCTTCATACACAGTTCCCTCTTTGGGGCACCCTTACCACCTCTTCACCTAACTTCTAATTAATCCTCAAAACTCAGTTCAGGTGTTGTTGCCTTCTCTCTACTCATTCCTCACAGTCCCTGTTGTTTCCTCCACCACAACGGTAAGTGCTATTTATTTTTATTAATATACAATGAATTTGTCTATTTATCTGTCTCTTTCATTAAATCATGAGCTCCTGAATCTGAGTAGCCAGTATCTAGCCCCCAATAAACATATACATAAATAAATAATTCATTCACATCTGTTGTTGGAACTCACAACATTATCAAGTACATGGCAGCTATTATATCAAATATACATGGTGTGTTTTGTCCTAAAGAACTGAAATCATAGAGCTTCAAAATGCTGAAGCTTCAGATCAGGAAGGAAGCACTCAACCCATATCAGAAAGTCATCAGTTCCTCAAAATTTCTTTGAGTCACATTGTTTGCTTAAATAGGGCTTACTCTTCCTGCGTCTACAGTGATATTGATTTTAAACCGTGAGTTTAAGAGTCTGGGTTTCATCTACACTGTGCATGAGAAGTTCATCTTTCAAGTCCTAGGTTTCTCTTTCCTAGGGCCCAGAACCCGTCAGTCCCCTGCTGCACACAGGTGGCAGGTAGCTCTGGCATACCTGGGAGAGGAACAGCAGACAAAAAGCCTCTGAGTCTGGAACTAACCACTGCTTCTGTTCTCAGTGGGAGCCCGAACACTGAGACCTGGTAAGGGGAGAAGTCTCGGGGCCGGGGAGTAGAGTGGTGAAGATGGCTGGAAGGTCCTGGTCAAAGAGATAGAGGATAAATATTCCAGGAGGGAGGAGGGAAGAGACAATGTTTTGTACACATATGTATAGGAAAAAGAGAAGAATGTGATCTGCCAATCAGAGGAAAAGTCATCTTACCTCATATTCCTCCTCACTGGGCTTCAGGCTCTTCATAGGATTGTGAGACTCAAGTGAGAAAGAAGTTAAAAAAAAAAAAAAAGACCGATGAAATCTTAAAAGGCAGAATAAAAATCTAAAGCGTTGTGAATAATAATTTTGTTCTTATCGCTTCTACTACCATCACTATCTCATTTTTTTTCCTCTTCTTACACAGAAAAGATGATGCTGGATTTTCTGGGACGCTTTCCTCTCCTCCTGTTGCTGCTGGGTTTATGGGAGCCAGTGCATCCACTTTGTGCCCAGCCTCAGTCCCTCACCAGGGCACAGTGGTTTGAAATTCAGCATGTAAGGTCAAGCCATGTCAACTGCAACAGGGAAATGAATGGTGTCAATAATTATACTAGGAACTGTAAGTCTCACAACACCTTTCTGCAGGACTCCTTCAAGAACGTGTCTGATACCTGTCTTTTGCCCAACGTGACCTGCAAAAATGGCCTGCGTAACTGCCACCAGAGCCCACAGCGTATTAATATGACTGACTGTAATCTCACTGCAGGGAGGTATCCCATCTGCAGCTACAGAAATTCTTACCCGCAGATGTTCTAC